AAATAACTCAGATAGCAGAGCAGTTTTTCAAACTAAATGGCATAGAAATTAATGGTAGCAAGTCCAAACTTGTCGTATTCAACTCAGAACTTCCTTCAACAGAGAGACAAATAAATTATGGTGGTGCACTTGTTAAAGCAGAGAAAAAACTGCATAATCTCAAATTTCTTGAAACATTTCTACATATAAGAAAAAAGGTAGTGGAAATCAAAAAGAAATTGAAACAAATAGTAGGCCTCTTTACATATAAGTTAGAAAGAAAGAAAACTACGGCTAGCCAATTAGTTTATATAAACAATCAAGTTTTAATTCCCAAACTAGAGTACATTCTACAAACGGTAGTATTAACAGAAAAAAAGTTGAACATAATTCACCAGCCATTTCTGAGACTAATAAAAAAAAAATTAGGAATAGCACAAACTACACCTAATAGTATTTTAATCCACGGTGGTATACTAGAAGTTAAATTGCTTGCTGATGCAGTATTAGCAAAATAGGCTACGGCACTAATTAAAAAACTAAACAGCACTAAAATAATAGAGAAGATAACAAAGCTAAGAATTAGACAAAGAATACTCAAAAAAGGCATAACTCAAGATGTTTGAAGTTCACCGAAATGTAATATAACAAGTTTCAGCCACAGAGATAATATTGCATTAAGCATAGTTGAACATTGCAAAAAGATAGATTTGATGTTTACAACACAAGAAAAAGGTTGGTGTATTCTAGGCTTGAGAACACCAATAGCAAGCATGCTTAACCCAGTAGATAGAAAAGGATATAGAAAATGGCAAACAGACCTAGACTTATATTTTATTAATTAACTACTTGATGTAAAGGGTAGAAACCTATTAACTTAGTATCAAGTAAAAGCAATGAAAAACCGGCATTGTAGTGGAAAAGTTCCACATTGGTACAAAGTAATAGAAAATCTAATGCTTTTAAACGAAGAAGAACATAGAGTCAAACAGCAGTTTCAAGTTCAAGAGACTAATCTGGAGGCTATGGTACCAGTCCTCCCAAATATTAGTACAGACAAAAGACAAAAAGACTGGGTTTTACATTGTGATGAAACAAATCAGCTCAAAATCTGCCGCATTCAGAAAAAGGAAACAGACTCAATATTAGTTAATCATTGGGTCGAGTCAACCCAGAGGAAAAAGGGAGCTCGCTTAGAACAATATAGTGGCTATAAACTTAGTGAAATAGTCAATAAAAACAGGTGTACTTTCAAATTAAATATAAGCCAAATAGTAGAAAAAATAGACTATGTTGTCAAAGACAAAAAGGGATGGTATCTCAGAATCCCATTAGAGATTTATAGTGTTCTTGCTATAGAAAAAGACATCTCAAAAAACATATTCAGAGGATTAAATGAAATTAAAGACAAAGATCTTGAATATATAAACAACTTCAATCTTCCCAAGCAGAATTAACATATAGTCTAAAGATTAATCTCAGCCAAGAGAGACAGAATTGTATTTTCTACACCGACGGCTCATGGGTTCCAAATAAACTAATTGAAAATGAAGAAGATAGAATGGGCGCTGGTTGGGTTCAAGTTACAGAAGATAAAAAAATGGCAGTTTTCAAAGGCAAAGTCAGAATAAGTGACTGGCCTTCATCAACAAGACCCGAGTTGGCTGCAATTTTGTGTGCTCTGTTAACAGTAAGAGGAAATGTATGTGTATAGGTTAAGACAGATAGTTCAGTGGCAATCTCAGCTATAAGACGGGTATTAAAAGAAAAAGATTTTAGCAAGGGGCTGAAAGTGAAGAATAGAACAATACTCGACAAAATAGTAGAAACCATCTAGTTTAAGAAACTTGAGCTTGATTTGATAAAGGTCAAAGCGCATAGTAGAGTAAAGTGGAATGAAGAAGCAGATAATATTGCAAAAGAAGGTGCTTACTTGGATGAAACATAAAAGTGGCCAAACAACCTGCGATTACGCTGGAGTTTTAATATAAAGTGGCAAGAAAGAAATATTGAATATCCACTTCGAAAGTTTATTTTGAGATTAAAAAGAAGGCTTATAGAAAGTGAATGGTATCTATCTAAAAGGTGTGATTTACTACAACAATTAGACCGGAAAAGTAACCCCATATGGTCACGTTGCTAGAAAAGATTAAGAGAGCTGAGAGGTCAAAGATGTAGATCGCTTCAAAATAGTAATAAGCTCGTAAGCTGGTTAAAGAGGTTATTTGGTATGCTTCCAATGCTAGACAAACTCTACCAATGCAACCCAAATCTATACACTTCACCAATGTGTATAATGTGTAAGGAAGAGAAAATAGAAAATATAGATTATCTTTTTAGCTATAAATCTCATCAAGAGATCTGGAAGCAGGTTGAAAACCAAGCTCTTGCGACAGCATGGGCTATGCTTGAAGAAGAAACTAGATTTATGTATTCTATAGAAGAAGTCAGAAAGGTGGTTTTTGGGAGTACACAAGAGGAAAGGTTAGAAAGAAGAAAAGCCCTCACTTTCGGTCTAGCTTGCCAAGCTGATTTTTCAAGTCTGCAAGTAATAAATAAAAAACACAAGTCAAGTAAACAATGCTATGATGTGCTAGTTTATGTTACACAAGAGTGTTTTTATAGAGTAATATGGAGGGAAAGATGTGAGAAATTTGCAGTATGGGAAAAAAGTAAGGGTATAAACAAAGCTATCAAGAGGAGAAAAAGGCTTAGAGTCAATAGTACCGCCCAAGTAGAAGCTAACTCTGTAGCAAAAGATAAAAGACCGTCAAAAAAATCTGATGCAGTAGAAAATCGTCTAAAAAAGCGTCAAAAAAGGTAGGCAAAAGTGTCAAGAGAAGAAGTCGCGACATTAAATAGAGGAAAAAGACATAGAAGCTTAGAAAACTCCTTTTTAGATAATGAAATTGTATCAACAAGTTATCTGAGCAAGAGACGGAAAGTGAATGAAGAGGGAGTCGAATTATTAAAAGTCAGAAAGACGAAGAATACTCTGGTTATGTTTGGGAAAAAATAGCTGAAGTTTATAATTTAATAATGAAAACAATAAGGTTACAAGTTTCGAGTTCATTTCTAGTGAGATAGTGGTCAAAGTAAAGTTGGAAATAATATAAAAAATAAGGTAGCTGAGTATCATACTATAGCAGGTTTTGAAATGCATATATTACTGCATGTGGAATCTGTTGGCAAACATCAGTGCGATAACTATTCTTGGGTACTTTTATCCTTTAAGCTGTAGAGTTCGTATAACAATTTTAGCTTAAAAATAGCATAAATTTAGTTATGATCTATTTTTTTTAATATT